TAATACCCTCGTAATTCGTTCGCTCCTTCGTTAATACCCTCGTAATTCGTTCGCTCCTTCGTTAATAACCTCGTTTGTTCGCTCTTTCGTTAATTCGTTCATTCCTTGTTCGCTTGTTTGTCCGCTTCTCGTGTTTCCTTGATGACTTTGTTTTTCGTGGTATTATTATGATAATGCATCAATTTTCTTAGTCACGCTTTTTCTTGTCGCCTCGTGAGAATAGTAAGACAACTTTTGCTATAATAAACTACTAAGCAAAAGAAGTGCAGCGGACTCAGTATTATATGAAACTATAATCAGCACGCTTTAGTTAAAGCCAAATTCTTCGTATAATCTTAGATCTAATGGTAGGCTTTTATTGGAACCACCTAAAGGGAAAATGCAGCCGCTTCGCTATTATGGAATAGCTTCCCTGCCAATCTACGTGAAATCCAATCACTCACTGTCTTCAAACAGAAGTTGAAGACCTACCTTTTTTAATTTATTCTTTTTTAGTTTATAGTAAAATGATTACTGACCTTGAACATTATGGATCGTCTCAACGGTTACGCTTCCAAGTCTCTTCGTTCTCAATCGTTCTCGAATAGCTCGCACCTAAAAATAAGCCAGAGAAGTTTATCGCTAATTGCACTATGAGATCAATTAAGGGGCCCTTCACGCTAGCCATTTAGATCATTTTGAGATAGATAAATAAAGACAAACGGGCCAACGCTGACAAATACATCACTTGGGCTCCCTGTGTCTGGTAGGTTCCACCTATAATAGAAAACCTCCTTAGTCTTATTTACCTGAAAACTGTAAGCAGCAACTACAGCGATATCTTGCAAGTTCTTTTCCCCCCAACATTCCGGCCACGACCGGTCCAGGTTCTCCACCAGTTCAACTACTTTATCTACTTCAGCTGTATTCAGATATGTGTTGTCATGCTGCCTCGCCTCTCGGCCTTCTGTACTGTGAAAACTTAACGAGCCCATCACTGGATGGCTGGGGTTATCTGCATGTCCTTTGGCCTTGATGTTCCCGTTATAAAAATATTTGGACGGGAAATCCAAGATGTCCTTGTTGCTGCGGTAGTTGTCCAGCAAAAAGATGACATTTTCATCCTTTGATGATGTGTCTTCACTGTAATGAGAAAAGAGGCGCTCGGGAAGTGATCGCTGCAGACCCTTTTCACGAGCGAATGCTGAATACACTTCTGGATTCATCTATTGAGACAGAATTACGAAAAGAAAGCTTGTAAGAAAACAATCCTTAATTTCCATACTCGCAACAAATGTAAGGAACCCAAAACGCGGAAAAATTGCGTGTGATTTCTTTCCTATTAGCAAAACTGCGAGAACTATTTATTTCTCATCAGTTGGAGTAGTTTATGCCGGAAATCCAATTAGCTTAAGGGTGGTGTAGCGGTAGTCCTTTCACCGCTGAGGTTTCACGTTTGACTCACAAGTGACTTTCTCTTGATCGAGAATTTTTCTCTGCGTTTTCTTTGAGTTAGCCGTGGTTGACTGACTTAGATCAGCCCAGAGGTCGCTTTAGGGTTCAATCTGTGAATTAGCCGTGCCCTGACTTAGATCAGCCTAGAGGTTATTTCAGGGTGCAATCTGTGAGATATAGCCGTGCCCTGACTTTGATCAGCCCAGAGGTTATTTCAGGCTGCAATCTGTGAGATATAGC